ATATCATTGCACTAAAAAAAGTGTTCTCATATTAGACAAATCCCCTTCTCAACTCCAGGTCAGGTATAAAGTTTAAAAAGATGCATCGATCGTGATACTTGATCGATCATGATCGCAAGAAGAAATAAATATGGATAGTGTTTTTATGACAGGCATTCTGTGACTTGTCTGTCTGCATTGTTCTCATGTGTTCCCACGTTTCGAAGTTATATGTAAATGTGAATTACACTGTTGGTATGCGCTGTTCACAAGTGGAAATGCGGTTTCCAGCGCAGCTCAGAGTTAATTCGGATGATGCTGAGGCTATACATTAAATGTCCTTGAAAACCACACCAGGTAAAAGAACACCGTTAGTCCGGCATATTCTCTGTAATAGTACGAACTTAAGAAAGTTTTCCTACTTTCTCAGATATTCAGCTCGATCAGGTTTCTCTGAACTGACAATTCGGCATGCGATGGCTTCTGTAGAAAATAGTTGAACCATCACCATTTACCGAATTTTGTACGAACAAAAGAACGATTTGACACTCGCAGTATTTCAGTTTCTGACTTTGGATTTTTTCGCTAACTTCATGCCCTCTTGCTCCATTTAAACAGGTCCCAGCTCCATGCCATTTTAATACCTACAATCCACTGAATACAGAGACGCGTCTGTGAGTCTGTCTGAACAAGGGTGAGTTCGAGCGCCAGGTAAAGCTACCACTATTCTTTCACAAATACTCGATGTTCCGGAATAAATCTCAAGTTTAGCCCTTCTAAAATGCACTGCAATTGTTAAAACGTCATGGAACCATGACCTGCTTGAATGGTCGGCCTAAGCGACTAGAAACAAAGGAGCACCGCTCTGATGTAGAGTAAATTCTGTATCAAAAGGTGAATTGTTCTGGCTACCGATGATGTCAGTCTGAAATTCATAGACACAAAACAGGCAATTCGAACTGTAAGATGCAACACAGTAATTTATTTTAACAAGGACAACGACTGTACAAAACTGAAAGGCTTTGAATCAGTTTAATAGCATGCAAGACAGACTATAAATCCGATAGAGTGAAAGTGATATAAATAATGAGAAACAAGTAAAGGAACAGCATCAACAGGTGTTCGATGCAGCGGCGCTGATTGTTGATGACATCTTGCACTGCAGATTGCGAATTACGAGGGGAATCATCAAAAATGCACATCCTCCTCATGGAGGCTGTTTAAAAAGGATCATTTTCGCTTTGTCAATTCTGTCCAAATGCAGTGGTGAGAATGCGGAGTATGCAAGAGGTCTGGTTTGCCCCCGGAACAATATGGAATAAAGCGGAAATTTGTAGGTGCAATTTCAGGCTAAAAAGATTTGTTCACCTAAAGCTTCGATCAGGAACAATCGACACCGAGAGAAAACGACCGACCTAGTAATTCAAGAGATCAGAACAACTTCTTGTTTTCTTCTTTCACTTTCCATTTCATCAGTTCCATACAAGCTGCGGCGTCTTCTTTGCTATCATGCCCAGCAGCTGAAAATCGAACAGGTTAGTCCTCGAAACAGAATATGAAAATGCGAGAGAAAAAATTCAATTTACCGTCGTCTTGGATGATCTTTTTCAGATACTCCACCATCAACGTCTTCAGAGCACGTTTGAAAGGAGGTCCTAAGCGATGTGGAAAAACAACCGAGGTATCGACGATTAGGCGATGGATTATCTGAAAGACACGATGTCATCGACAATGAATACGGACAACGTTTATTCAGAAACTTTCAAGGCACGCAGGTCACATTCAAGACTGTGGCCCACCAGAATAGTATTCGCAGAGAATATTTGCAGCAAATCACGCTGAACGTCGGACAACAGTTTCGTTGCTTCAACAACCTGGTTTTCGGTCAGGCCGCTATAACGGCTGTTACAGTCAAGTAATAGTCCTTCGGGCCTTACAATCTCATCGTAGACTTGTCTCAAATTCGTGTCTATTACAGTAATTCTGGCTAGTTCGTAGCCTAGGGTCGTGTAAACCATCTCGCAGTCCAGCGAATAGATAAGTTTTCTGAATACGGGCATCGTCAGGACGATCAGTACATAAGCAACGCACACGATTTCACCTCGCATCCGCGGACTCGGCTGGCTGCACATAGCCGTCCAAGAAGAAAACTGGTGACGAATCGGTAACGTGAAATTTGGCCATCGAACAGCCGGAAGAATTCAAGTCGCCTTGGCAACAGTTGTACCTCGTTTCAATAACACCGCCCTCTAAGCCAAAACTATTAAGTGAACCGCCGATCGCTGACCATCTTTGTTAAAATCCTGAAAGCACGACAGCCACCCGGTCGAGGAACAGCACTGCATCTTACCTCGTTTCTTCCAGGGTCTACCGTAGTGAAAAATGCACTCGGTGTCTCTGCTCGAGTACCGCCAGTCCGCAGTGACTTCGAAAGGAGCGCCGCATCGGCAGCACGTCCTCCGTAAACCTGAAAGCACCGCATGATTTTTTTAAACCTCTTATGTTGCTCTTAGCCGCATTACTTTCTGCTTCGACAAATCGCTTAGCCACCTCCGGCTTGTAGTACACGGCTCGTCCTTGATTATCAGGGTCCGCCAACGGAAAGCCGTTTTCCTTCAGCTGCTTTTCGTCCAGCGTGTAATTCAGTAACAGCTTGTAGAAGTCCTCGTCTAAACGACCCTCGAAATTTGCGCACAGTGTTAGAGGTCGTGCTTGCGGTACCTCGAAGCGTCTTCTGATGGTGCAGCGTCGTCGATCGCCTCAGTGTAAACGAGTTGATGACTGCGCTTTTTCCGCCGATGATGGCTGAGTGCGATATTGACAATCGAGAAACACTGCGCTTGTCTCCCGGCTTGTGTTCGTTCGAATCGCTGCTCCGGCAGGCGGTACGAATGCGCTTGATGGCGCTGACAGCCGTCATCATGTAGCTGTTTTTGCTCAGCGCCTTCGAATGCACCGCCTTTTCTTCTTCCACAGCCTGAAACAAAAAACTGCAAACCCCATTTATTCAGCAACACAGAAACTACAATTCTGTTAAAGTAACTTCCTGGCTTAACGCAGATGCAGTCATTACTGAGTCTAATCACCTAACTTACGTATGGGCATAAGCGGCAAAAGCCACAAGCGTTGTTGATCTCATCGCCGTCATAGTCAAATACTGCTTAAACAGTGACCTGATCTTATAAGATCTAGGGTTGATTTGATACAGCACCATATAGCTGATCTTGCTGCTTGCTGGATACAGCAGCCATGATCCTCATCAAAACAGGTATACCTCAATTATTTGTATTCACGTCTTGCAACAGGCTCCAACATTCTTATGTAAATCGACATCCTATAGTAATGAACGGAGTAAGCCACTAAAATCCAAAGCGAACTGCTTACGAATTTGATTACAGGTATCAATTGAATGCTAAGCAAAGGAAAGTACATACAAAAGGAGAAAGTGATATTGCTATAACTCTGGTTAACTGACATAACAACATAAGTGTGTTAGTGTTTTCAGCTTTAAAGGCATATTTATTCATTTTACTCAGATTTTTACATTTATACACAGACGAAGTCTAGAACTTCGAAAACACATACTCCAATTATCATCAAGTCGACGGTCAGAAAGTTGAATTTGAACGCTTTACTACTTGGCAACTCCTGGAAGCCGCAGAGGCGCTGCAGATGTTAGGTGGTAACATGACGCAAGACGAGCATCCTCGCCGTGAACTTAATGGTTTGC